TGGGGTTTGTTGGCACCAGACTACAGACAGCCGTACAGTTGCAGTGCTTCAGCTAGCAATTTAGGGATGACTGCTGAGATTTGGCTGGGCTTCAGAAGTTGCACTCTCATGACTAATTTTGGCCCGAGGTTTCAGGATTTGCAAAGCTTGATGGTTTGCGCCAAGCGTGGGGATGTTTCTTATTCTATGATGCTATCCATGACCTATGCGGCTGCGCATTGAGTAACTAGTGTAATTAGATCAGACGCGTGTAATGATGTTCTTGTGCATTTTCGTTTTGGAAGATTGCCCAGAGTCACCATTGCAACAGAGCAACTCGCCATTTGGAGCTTAACACATTCTGGGCTTTTGCTGTCCACGAGGCTGCACAAGAAGGACTTTTCGCCGACGTTTGCTTCCGATCCGGAGAAGGCTGTTTTGAGACGAGTCGTGCCGCTTATGGCTTCTTACAGAACTTCCGTTGGAATATGCCTTTCCCCAGTTTTGCAAATACCGCATGGCGCATTAGCCTCCCAGCAGCCTGAAAGCGAATCCCAGTATTATATTGGGGTTATATTCGTGATAACGGAAAAGAAAATGGAAACTACTATAGGGGGTTTATAGGGGTAGAGGAAGATCAGTACATGCTTGTCCACCCAGCTTGCATAGGTTCTGCTAAGCTTTGCTTGCTCTTTGCATCCTGTGGAAGGCAATCCGAGGCGGAAGGATCAAAGTCCGCAAGCTTGGGCGGACACCTGAGCTTTGAAGTATCGGTAGCTGCTAAGCCCTACTGCGGCCTCATGCCCGCTATGGATGATCATCCGAGGTTGAATGACCGCGGCGAGACCGTGCCTCAGGCTTTTTTTGCTCAAATGTAGTCTTTGGTGACATTCCAGCACACCATAGCATTGCAAGTGACTGCAAGCATTGGAGCAAAAGCACAACACACCCATGTTTTCTGCGCTTGCTGTTGCTTCACGTCCCTGGCTGACCACACCTGGTTCTTGCTATCGTGTTCATCGTTCTTGTGCTGGATGTGATTGGTATGAGGTTTGTAACAACCAATGCGTACCATCAAGATCTTCATGATGACTACTGAGCTAGCGCTGATGAGCATTTATGCAGTTCCATTTGATTTGCCTTCGGCATTTCTAGTTTGAAGCTTTTGCTGTACCAGATTGACCGTAGCAACTTACCATGTCACCGTGCTTTCCTTAACCTGAGGAAACTCCACGTTGGTGCTTTGGGTTTTTGGAAGCCGGAGGAATCCAAAGCAAGCATCTTCTGAGGTTGAGGGTGACCATGAGGTTCTGAGGCTTCGCCTTTTGCGCTCACAAATACATGCCGCCATGGGTATTTTGTGAGTTCCGGCGCTGTTTGAAGACACTGCCACGTTGTGGCTGACTGAGACCAATTGCGGGCAAAGTCTGGCACTCAAGAAAATCGCCTTCGTGCGAAGAACAGGCGTACTACGTAGACCATCTACTCTTCAGCAGCTCGTTCTTCAGCTCTAAACGCTCCGCGGCAAACAAGTTCAGGAGGTGTCTTCGGGACCATGCATAGGGGTAGCGCGACTCCACGACGCGAACATGTCACCGCCAAAAAGAGATGTTGCCACGCGCTTTACTTGATGGCTTGCCACTACGAGGTCCTGAACTAGGACCCCCAATACTTTTTGCAAGCTTCAGACATCCCTGAGGCCCTTCCCCCACTTCGCGACAAGAGCCATGCTGCCTGAACCAGCACCGCAACTTTTCCTGTTCGCATGTGAGTGGCTCAAACAGCCACTCCTCCGCTTGCCCGTCTGGGTAAGCAGGGCGTCCCTATGGATGGCATCTTGGACTGTAAATGAGGAGCTTATGAGTAAGGGGGTAGGGCCGTCATAGTATGGCTCTGGTGGGGGTATGTCCGTACATCGAGAATATACGGAGACTTGAATCGAATCCTTGTGTGTGAGGCGAAGAATGGAATCAAAGTTTAGTTCGTTCCGATACTGCATGAGTGAAACAGGGGTCACCCTCAGGGGTTCATAGCCAGGAATTTGTCCTTGCAGATTGGGGAATTGTGTGGTGATCAGATTGGGATGGCTTCATTAATGCTGGCCTTGGCAAGTGTAACAAGTGGTCTCGGAGTTTAGGGATCCCTGTTAGAGATCCCCTCGTGCACATCAAGCTACAAGGACCTGGGTTCAAAACATGTCGCGTTCCCAAGTTTCATCCTGAGACAGCAGGGCGAGTTGAAGGGGTCCCTGCTTCGAAGCTTGGGGAGTCGACTTAGTAGCACTTTGGAAGCTCTTTTGAATCCCTGCATCCTCGAACCACTGCTACTTGTATCAGACTGGGTTGCTGTTAAGGAACTTAAAATAGATCACTGTAGGTAATAAAGAAACCTATTTTGTACTATATACCCAGTAACTTAATTTGAGTTCCTTAACGGCAACTCAGCAGAGAAGCATTCTGGCATTCTGAAGGGGCTGC